AAATCTTGTTTCTTTCCCTCCCTCTTTCAGATCATCTTTGGATATTCAGGGGAACTTACTCCGGAATTGTAAATTAACTGGATGACCCGAATAGGAGCAGCAGATACATCTGCTGATTTGTATACACTGTCAAGCGGGAGGTTATCTTCCAATAGCTACCGGAAAGTGGAAAATAAAAAAATTATCTTAGAGAAAAAAAAGTGGAAAATGTAAGCGAATGCAATTTTGATTGAAAATAGCAAGTACCTTTAGATTGTCACCAAAGAGTTTCAGATCGGCAGTGGCTTTATCATCTCGAATACCGATGAAGGTTTCAAATGTAGCCTTACATGAAAAACAAAAACAGATCAGAGAGTATAATCGTGCAAAGAGCCTATCATAGATTGAAACTATATGGTTGGAGGAGTTAGCATTTCATAACAGTTAATGTATAAGTGCAAAGATGAAGGCGAGGACTGTGAGCAGATTCATATAAATTCTTACCTTGTATCCAAAGATTTCATCCTCGTACGTCTCATATGGACCAATGGTAATATCCAACTTTGAATCCTACAAAAATGATTAGAGGAAGCAAAGAGACTCAAAACTATGGTGAGACTATTAAAATAGTCAGAGCTAATACAAAAGACTACAAGACCATAAATGGGCAGAGAAGAGTTACCAAGTCCATCCATGCGATGTCTGACTCATAGTACTCATTTGAGAGGAATGCTTCAGCTTTGCTATGCAGCAGCTTCTTCAAGCTATGGAAAAGCATTGTAAAGTACTTGAATATATAAGCCACTCGAATGGGCGAATACCTTTTATATGGTAAGGATAAGAAGCTGTATGATATATATACCTCGGTGAACTGACCAAGTTCCCAGCTTTGTGCAAAAGTTCTGAAGCTTTCGTGAGGAAAGGTCGATATATTTCTGAATAGGGAATACTATACAGATCGGAATTAGAGTCTGGTAACTGCTTTATGATGCTGGCGAGATGATCAGATAGAGAAGCATCTTGATGAGCTTCACTTCGTCTTTTTATAACACTGAAAAATCCTGTTGCAACATGCTTTTGCTCTTCCGTAAGACTATTGAGCCATAAGGTGAACTCCTATAAGATTTTAGAAACACATTTCTTACTACGGATTATCACAACCAATGAGTAAATGGAAAACAAACATCAAACATATGTTAGTGGGTACCGTTTTATCCATATCGGGAGGATAGAAATTGGCACCAGGTGGCTTAGTCACAGGAAAGGCTGCTCTATATTCAAGACCCTTCCAGCCAGCAATGGGTTTTGTTGCTTCAGGAAGCAACAAAACAGCTGAATCCGCCGTAGTCAAGAATGCTTCATTTTCATCAAGAGACGACCTGCAATGTATAACGAAACATCAATCTCTAGGACTGATCTCTCTCTTTACCGTCATGAGGTTTAACACACCAGATACGATATCTTAATGGTTTCCAACATCTTTTGGAACTTTTAGTAACAGACACATTGTTAAATTCTACACCAAGAGCTTAGACGTTAGAACAAAGCCCGTTTGATGATACTCACCATGGACTTTTGTTGATCAAGAAGTAATCCCATTTGAGTTTATCCAGTTCTGATTCATTAGCATGATCCTTCAGCCAATCCCTTAGAGCTGGATTNCTGTACCAAACCTGATTAAAGAATATATATCTAAATCAGTTTAACATCAATCCTGAGATTCCATGTTCACAANNAAAACAAAAAACAAATGTGGACTACAAATCTACACAACCTGGTCATAAAATATATCGTCCATAACTTTTGCAGCCTTCACAATCAGACCCAACGCTTTCTGATCTGCCTCAGAAAGTTCTCTCAACTGCATAATCAAGAAAGGTATCTCAGAATGCAAATCTATTTCATGGAATGAAATGGAACTGTAAGTTATATGGTATATCAGACACAAAATCGCAGTAAGATATATTGCAAATTCATACATTTGCTTCGAGGGTGACGGGAGAATATCTCTGGAGTTGCTTCTGCAAAGATAAACTACGGGCCTCAGTGTTCACTTGGCACCTTCAATCAAAAGAAACACTCTCTTTTGTAAGATAAGAACTTTCCATATAAAACCTTTAGCTTAGCAATGGATATGTCACACAAAATTCTCATGTGGTGTTAATCTAAATCATGGAATATATCAGAGATGACCAGAAAAGACCAATAAGAGATAATGTACCTGTGTCTGATTATCTCAAATAGTTTTCCATACTCTCCATTTACATCATATGGCACATAAGCAGGATCTTCCTTAGCCAGAAATTTTCTGTATTCTTGGTAAGGTATGTATTTTACAGCAGAGACTTCTTCTTTCTAATATACATAAGAAAAACGAAATATAGAGGTTACTTAAGAATCCAACTGGTATTTAGTACTTAAAAACTTACAGCGTCGTAACGGAAAATTTCTCACTTGAAGAGTAAAGGCTTCTAATGGGATTGGTTCCAGAATTGTAACAAGATACACGTCATTGAACTCATTATTTATGAATTTTCCATCGTTTATGACACTGAAAAACCAACATAACAATCAATGTGGATATTTAGATTAGAGAAACCAAGTTAGCTTCAAGATGCAATGACCATACCAATCAAGCTAAACACTTTCAACAACAAACAAAAGATCACAGAAGCTTAAGAAATCGAATGTACAAACAAACCATTCTTGCAGAAAGACGAATATCTTTTCAAATGCATCCTTTGGGAGTTTTACGCCTAGCTCTTCCTCGAGCTCTCGTCTACACAAAAAAAATTGGACAGAAACTATAGTAAAAGGACAGCAACAAAAACTGGGACATAAGTGAATGCAGAATTCGGATTCTACTTACTGGGCCGATACGATCGATGCATCACCAGCTGATATATGACCAGCACTAGAGATGTCCCATTGTCCAGGCCATGAATCTTTATCATCAGATCGGAGCTGGAGAAGTAGCTCTTGAGTACTCTCCACAAAGATCCAAACATGAACTGCACGATGGTAATCTCCATCTCTATGAATCTCTCCCCTACACACAAATGAAATAACTTTCAGGTAACTGATAACAAGTAACTTTCAGAATCGGAATGAAATTTTGTCCCTTTACGTCGGATTTGTTTAGTTGAAGAGTCAACGAAGCATCACAT